TTGCTATGTTTCTGGACCTTGATCGTGGTAATTACATTGCTGTCTATGGGAGGGTCAGAGAGCTCTCAGAATTCATCAAAAATATCTTCATTTGTGTTCCGAAGATGAAAGGAGGTCTTATGGGTTTAGAACGACATGAGGGTGAGTAATTAATGACAGAATTTTCATTTTTGGGTGAACTAACCCTTTAACACATTCTGCTCTGATTTAATACCTTTTTAAGGCATCAATTTACAGAACGGCTAATTAAAACCCTGTAGTTTTAAAACATTTTCAAAAGAGGGTATTTTAAAATACAATAATTTCACAAAATTAGAGGGGTTTTTGATCAAATAAATGCAACCTTGGTGAGCATAGAAGACATGCAATCCTCCCAAACCCAAACTGTTGACCATTAGTGTAGCTGAATGTTAATTTCACTCAATCATCTTGAGAAATGCCCTGAATGGTGAAGCAGTGGCACTTACTTTGGTCTCTTCTTGAAGGTTGGTTGCAGAAGCAGAGGGGATTCTCGAGCAGGGGACTGCGGAGGGGAGGGGTCTCCTCCAGGAAGTACTGGAGGAAGAGGCAACTCACTGAGAAGGCGTGTCCTGATTTCTTTTTCCCTTTCTTTCTCCTTCTCCCTGTCCTTTCGTGATGACTTCTGGGAAAGACTGCTCTTTTTTGGACTGAAACGGAAAAAAAAATCCACAGTTAGTGTTCATTCTATGGGGACAACCAAGCTATTCCAAAATAATGCATACAATTTCCACTAGGGCTGTCAAAAAAAATTCGAATTTCGAATATTCGTCGATTTTAAAATAAAAATCCACATTTGAATGCAAAAACATTGCATTCGAATTTTAGGTGTGCATCAGGCAGCCTTATCAGTGGTGCACGTAATGCGACGACGATGTAAGTGTCATTGCATTTTAATGTTTTTGTTAGTCTATCCAGTTGAACCCACTGGATGCAGAGCTGCTGCGTTGTTCATTCAAAATATTGCAGAAAAAAGAACATCAATGCGGAGATGATGATGTTTACGTCAGAACCAAAACATTCACACAGAACGCATATTTATCACATTTTATAGAGGGACATCTATCACCGTTGCACTCGCGTCTCGCACAAGAGAGCCGCATGTTAAGAAAGCCATGAAAAATTTATATAAGTTCAAATTTTTAAAAACATGTCTCAAGACGTTATGGTGGTTTTCCCCATACTACTGTATCTCATGTTTTTAAATGAAGAAAGTACTCTTTGTGATTGGTTTTCGGTCCTTTGTATTAAACTATACATACATGCATGATGCTGTTTTGTTTCTAATTGTTTAAGCAACTTTAATTATATAAGGTTTATAAACATTATTTTAAACAGTATGCACTTTTTTCAAAGATAGTCGTTTTATTATATTATGCTTTGAAGAAACGTGCATAATATTTAGCTCGATGCGCTCTCTTGTGGCCTCAGGAGAGAAGCCAAAAGCTTTTTTCCCCCCTAACTGAAATGATGCCTTTTAAATTAGAATATAATTCGAATATTGATAATATTTAAGTACAAAATTCGAATTTAGTTTTTCAGCCATTTTGACAGCCAAGTTTGCACAAGCATAAACAGCAATAAATAGCTTGTAGTTAAAAAATTGCAAATGCTGTTACATGGAATTCACACAAAGTGTAAACAGAAGAAATAAGCTATGCACACTAACAGTGAATAGTCTGCGTAATTCTGGGTGTAGTTAATGACAACAGCTTTTGTCAACAAAGCTATTTGCATTTAGTGCAAACAGACACCGCCAGGAAATAACAGCTTGTCCTCAGCTTACACTCTCTACAGCCCAAACATGCCCACATGCATCTAGGATAAATATGTAAATGGTCAAGCACATATGGTTTGATCATGTGACCAAGAGCCAACATGTACAAATGGAGACAATGAACAAGTATACTACAGCTTAAGTGTACTTGGGCCACTGTACAGTGTTTAAAAAACATGAATGTTGCTGCATTAGATAACCGGATATCAGAAGCAAGTGTCATTAATTAAGGAAACTCAAACACACTAAGTAAAACACAGGAAAATATCTTATAATAATATGAATGATAAAATACATTTACACCACTGAAAAATAATTAGGACCATTAGTATTCTGTGACATTAAACCTGAAAAGCATGGCAAAATAGCCCCTGATGTGTGATCAAAACAAGGTCTCGGGCCCAAAACGTACTGAATGCAAGAATGTGAATGCGAACGCATGAAGCAAAGCCAAGCTTGATTTTCTGCATCATTGCATTTCGAAATATCAGACAAATACTCTTTCCATTTAGGTCAACTAAGGTCAGTTTGAAGAGAATGAGCAAGTTGGTTAAGGTTGTAATTAAAAGGCTTTTCTTCTGTATCAGTTATTTTAGTATTATTTATAGACTATAAATTTAATATTTTGAATTTAGCTTTTTGAATTGTAGCTTTTTTATATTTTCAATTCAGATTTTTAGCTATTTTAAATAACTGTTTTATGTGTTTTTCATTTTTATGAAATGTTTTTATCAATTTTATTAAAATCAATCTATTTATTTCTACTACATGGGTATAATTTATTTTTATTTCAGTTTTAGTTTTTATTGCCAGTTTAAGTTTAATACTTTAACTTATTAGTTGCCAATGCATTTCAAATTTTCGTTTATGTTTTCTTTATTGCAGCATTATTTAAAACATTACAAATATGTTTTTAAAAGTTTTCGTATTAGTTAATAAAAATAACCCTAAATAAAAGTTAAATAAGGGTTTCACCAGAAGATTGAGTTGAAATATTACAACGTCAAAACATTTTAAAAATGAAATGCATGCACTGATAAATCAATCAAAATAAGATCTATAAAATGCATTTAGAAAAAAGGTAGGGTGCCTTTTCATTTAATGCCAATTTTAAAAAGCATGTTTATAGCTAGCTATAAACTATGACATCCAGTTTAATGAAAAACATTATCAAATCTAATCACCCTTGAGCACTCAAGTTTGTTATCAGCAGAGCAATACAAGAGCAGGCTGTGCATTTGCAATACATAGGCCAAATATTTGAGGTCTGTGTTCACATACTTGCGTAAAGAACGCTTAAAGATTTCCCTATGAAGTGTCTCTGATCAAGACTCACCTGTCTCTGCAGGCTCCCAGAAGAACCGGCGGCAGGGGAAGAGGCGGAAGTGTGGAAGTCTTAATTGTATGCGCGGGACTTTGCGTAGATTTCTGTTTGGGGCTTTTCGTGCGAGAAGAAACAGGTGCAGCAGGTGCTGAGGGTGGAGGAGCAGGTGGAGGGCTGTTTAGAGGAAGAGGTGGAGGGGATGAGAGAGGAAGAGGAGGAGGAGGAGAGTTCGCCGGGAGAGGCGGAGGAGATGAGAGAGGCAGTGGAGGTGGACTGGATAACGGGAGAGGTGGAGGAACCGCAGCGGGCTCCTCCGCCAGATCAGTGTTTGGAGGTGGCGAGGGCGGTCTTTGAGGCTCAGGGGGCGGGGCTGTGTCTAGTGGCGGTGTCTCAGTGTTTTTCGTCTGCGCATTTGCGACGTTGGATGTGTTGGGGCGGAGAGAGGGGGAGTTTTTGGCGGCCGCCGCCTGACGTTCCTTCTTTCTTCGCGTCAGCTCGGCCCCCAGGCTGGAGGTGATCGGCAAGCGTGAAGACGAAGGGGAGCGGCTGCCTGGTCGACTGCTGTGGGAGGAGCCTCCACTGGCTCCTCCGGAATATAAAGAATGTTTCTTAGTGCGAGAACGGGAAGAGGAGCGGCGAGAGGAGGAGTAGTGAGGAGAACGGCTCCGGGAACGCAGAGAAGGCCTGGGGAGGAGAAACAAAAAATAGAAATGTTTTAAAATCAGTCATGTGAACCTGTTCAAATTAACTAAATGTAAACATCCTGTTTGAAGCATCAATCTAATTACAAAGGGTATCCTTAAAGGTCATAATGAAACTAAAGCAGCATCAGATCTTTTCTTCCATATTGCGATGTGCATTTGAGTGTAATGGATTATCGAAAAAGAAAAAACGTAGAGCGAGACATAGTTTTATGCACTGGTTGTTGATTAGATTTTGAGATGTGGGTGTTGCACTGAAAAATGGGGGCAGATGAATGTGACCTTGCAACAGCGGGGTTTTAAGTGCCGTTTTTTCGTTCTATTACGGGAGAGCAAAACATAAGAAGTTTCACATTTCGCTGTGTTCCGAAGGTCAAGTTTGGTGAACTTTAACCTGTGAATTTGTATTATGTGAAGCTGTGTGACAAATAGTGGTCGACCGATATTGTTTTTTTGACAGCCGATCCCGATGCCGATATCTTGAAAAGCAGGGTGGCCGATGGCCAATATAAAGCCAATATAATTGTATTTATTTTAATTAATATTTAAGAAATTTTAAATCATTTGAAAATGGATAAAAAAATTAATTTGTAAAATAAACGTACTTATACTTTAGATGACAAAGTATCTCAGTATTCTGGGAAGTTTGTGTGCATTGGGAATCATATTTTTTCAAATAAAGCCAAGGTAACACTCATTTTACATACAGCATACAGTGAAAATGACATGAATATGACAGTGGGCAAATGCATAAAGCGCAGCATAATTTGAAATCACGAATTTTGTGTTTAAAGCATTCACTTTGCATGGACCGAAAGTCATGCAGAGAACACGTGATCATGCAGGTCACATGCACACTTCACAAGATCTCACAACTGGATTCGACTACGTTTGCAAGGTTTGTGAAATTAAATTTTCATTAGCCATTCAAAGATTTGTTTTAAATTATGTAAATGCATATTTGCTGAATGCTGATGGCAAACGAGAAAATATTATAATGTTTGCCTTTCTATTACTAATAATATAAAAGCAATCGTTATAATACTTTTTGTATACATTTTAATTCCTTTGTTTAACAGTTTAGAGGGAAAGGGAGAATGTGAGTACTGCCGCTGTCAGCGCCGTCAAAATAAAGGTTCCGCCTCGAACGCATCGGCCAAACAGAAAAACTTATCGGCTGATGCCGATATTTGAAAAATGCCAAATATCGGCCGTGGCGATATATCGGTCGACCACTAGTGACAAATAGAAGTTTGATACATCACAGTGTGACCTTGTAACTGAATTAAAAGAACATAAATTTAAGACTGCAGTGTTGTATGAAAGTGGAGTAGTTTGTATGTTTCTACATTTGGATTCATTATCTTTGGTTTATGTTTTTAAAAAGATGCTGCAGAATGTGAGATCATATCACGACCACTGCAGTGTCCGAAGTAATTCTGCATGCTCAAAGTCTAATGTAACCATGGCTTTAAGGAGTCTAAACAACTGGAGAAGACCTGCATATGTCAACAGAGAGAAGTCTGTCATTTTCACCGAAAGGTCCAGTCGTGACATTTTGATTGTTTACATTCGTAAACATTACACGGTATAAAATCTAAAGTTATCTAAAATATGCATTTAGAAAACAGATGGGGCGAATTTTTTTATAGAAATTATATTCCTTCAGGTTAACTGTGAACAATGTAATTCTTTGACAAAAAAAACAATAAGCACCGATCAAATGTGTGAGTATCTAAACAAGCTGGGGTTGTTCATATGTGGGCAGTCAAATGCCTTTACATCAAAAAACTAATTTCTTTCAATCCTTAAAATTAAAAACTTTATATATTCCATAGTACACAATGCACAGAATCTGCTATGACAGTAGAAGGTGTGTGCTGGTAATCAGTAAATTAATGAGGGGTAACCCAACTAAATAGAAACATGTAATACAGGAATTATGGCATGTAGATGTTAATGCAAGATCTCAGTTGTTGTGAATAGTGATGAGCAACAGCATGCTTTCAAAAGCAAATATGCAACTTTAAATGCCATAAGGTTGACTGTCTAATGCACTTTTCAAACAGACTTTTGTTCAAATAAAATCCATTAGGACTGAAGATCATGCTATAAATATTAAACCCCTCTACTTATAACAACATAAACCTCTGCTATAAATTCACTGCTGACAGCTTATCAATACTACAATTTAAAGTATTATCTATGAATTAGGGATGGGCATTCCAAGCAAAAATAATACTCGAAAATCGCAGGGTATTATTCGATTATTATTCGAAAATCGCACCCGTCCCCCGCATGCACGCACAAACACCCATAAACTGAGAGAGAGAGGGAGAGAGATGGGATTCACACTTTCAATCTGTATGATAAACTGTTTAATTCAGAAGATAGGCTACCTTAACTCAAGCCATATAATGATTGTAACGTGCTAAAACACATTAATATAATAAACACAACCGAATGACGGCACTTATTTACATAACAGTCCGTCGATTAGCATAAATGAACTGCTCATGAGGCTAGGGCGATATTGCGGTTATCGCGACAGCCCTACTAGGACATTTCCATTTCAAAAAATGGAACCCCTAAAGGGAACAGATACGAGATGGGAGGAAAAATATACTTCAATATCTTCTGTCGCAATTATATCGTTGGGTAATTACACTGTATATAAACTGCGGGCATCAGGGAGCCATGGACCCTTTTCACAAGACTGTCTGTGATGCCACGTTTAACGGTTATCAGCATCGTAAATCCTCAAAAGTTTTTCATATTTGTATTATTTTTTTTTTATGTACATTTATAACACTATTCTTTGTATTATATCACCTTTGCATCAAATTACATAAAATAAAAAAATAGTTAACGCTAACAGTGTTTCTAATGCAGCGTCTATGGGAGGGACGGTGGTACATTTTTATTTTTATTTATTTTTTTATTTAGTAATTTAGCAGAAATTTTAAATAAATTTGACATCGTTCTCTCTTCTGACTGCTCTCTCAATTTTTTTCCTTTGATTGAAAGTCATAAAAACACTATCGTGGAGTTTTTCTTTTGCTATTTGAGCAAATGGGAATGCAAAAAATATATTTGCGGTACTCTCCCATTCACTGGCCTCGAAGTTTAACCAACTATGACGACTTCCATAATAAACTGCTGCTGAGAAATCCGTAAATGACTGCGTAAAAGACGTGCGCTTAGTACTGCGCATGTGCACTGGCTGATCTAGCCTGAAAAATAAGCTTTTTATAATGCTATTTGAGCAAAAGAAACAACATTTATGGCACAGTTGTCAGATTTCTTTGGTGATTTCAAATATGAAATTTAATCGTAAGCTTAGTGAACAGTTTTGGAGAATTTGATGTTTCCCCATTCAAAGAGATAGGAGTTGCACTTGCATGCCTGAGAGGCGTTTCAAAGATGGCCGCCGAGTGACATGACT